AAAAAATTTCAAAGTCTTACTTTTTATCTTACCACTCTTTAGCACCATTCTTAGATTTGTTGATTGCAGAAAGTACTATAGATGCTAAAGTGGATCACCGATCACCTATGTCAACACTTTCATGATTGTCTGGAAGAACCAAAGCTGATTTCCAATCTAACCTGACATCTACTGCTTGTCTTGGGGCTTGATATACAAGGGATTGGAATCCTCCTGCAAGTCTGGAAGGTAAAAGTCTCAAAAATTTTGGTTTCCTTCTTTCCTTCCTTCGGCATCCCCAGAGAATAAAAGACTGATATGATTTCCTAAGAGGCAGAGGGAGAGGTACATTACCTATGACCCCACTATTGTAAATCAAAGGAATGATCAAAGCGAGGTAGAGGTACATTACCTATGACCCCACTATTCGCTTACACTTTGTCAAGAAAGATCAATAAGATGAACATTAATTGTTCATTGGGATTGATATATAAAAAAAAAAGAGAAAGAAAGAGTTAGGATTCAGAGAAGGAGGATAAAGAAAGAAAGGGAACCAGGATGAGAATGCCTGAAACTTTTTTGAGTTGAATCTATGTGTTCCTTGATCGAGACTCCCAAGGTAAAGCCTACACCTTTACTTTTATGCATAAACGAAATCAGTAGAGGGGATAGACAGACAATGAATGTTTAAGTTGATTGGCTAGATGTATTTGGTTGCTAAGCTAGGATATGGTATAATGTACTTCTGTAGTTGATGGATATGAGATCTGGCTTGCAACAAATTAAGAGGTGATGATTTTAAAGTTGAGATTTTGATTGATTCCCTACTGTTTTTAAACTTCTTTCAAAGACTAACTTAAGGTTTGCTTGAGGACAAGCAAAAGGTTAAGTCTGGGGGAGTTGATATACCATGATTTTGACACGTTTTTGGTCATGGTATTGATATGTTTTTAGAATAATTATCTATGTTTTGGAGTCTATTAGGTATGTTTTCAGGTTCAGGAGCATTTTGTAGTAAAGTGATGATTTAGGTGCCTTATGGAGCTTAAAGGAGAGTTTTACAAGATGACTATGAAGATCCGACAATGAGAGACACATATCGATCGATACACACCTTGTGTAATCGATCGATGACGATTCCGTAGAAGTTGAAGTCGAGATACTCCATCGATCGATGTACACCATGTACCATCGATCGATACAGAGCGTGATGAGCAAGATTTACTTGGCCGACTTGAAGCCCAAGTTCTCACCAAATTACAAGATTGCCCATGACGAGTTTTTAACCTAATTGTACTCATATTTATAGTTATGCCTATGAGCCTTAGAGAGAGATCGAGATATTTTCAGAAAGTTTTTATCTAAGTTCTTGTATTCTATTTTATAGCAATAAAGTATTTTTTTTCATCTTATTCTTTTGTTATGAATCTCTTGGCTATGTCTGAGTAGATTCATTTGTTAGATTTGGGGTTCAAATAGTTATGAGGGATTAGCCCCAACTATGGATTGTTGAGTTGTTATATTCATTATCCAAATGAACCCTAATGCTTACTCTAGATTTGCTACCTAGAGTTATGATTATGGAGTGGCTAATCTAATAGTCATTTTCCTGAAATCATTTGGCTAAGCCCAGACTCTATTAGGCACGAGTGACAGCCGGTCTAATAGAAATTCTCGGGTGAACACAGTTTCAATTCGATCTGATGCTATATATCGATCGATACTCCTATAGAGTCATCGATCAACGACAACATATATCGATCGACACTGCGATAGCAACATTGATCGACACTGTCGGCAACCAAATCAATGGATGAGTCTAATAGCGACAGCTATAGATTTATTTAAGGATTGAAGTTCTCATATATTTGCAAGCAATTCATTAAGACATCCATAGATTTGTAATCCTGATTTTTTGAATAGTAACCTTGAATCTAACTACTTTCTTTCATTGTTTTTAAACCCAAAACCTATTTTCCTTAGCAACTTACCATTGCTACCAACGTTTATTTATTGTTTTAGACCTTTTCAACCTAGCTTAATCACTTAGGATTTCTATCTTTTGTGACTCTAGTTCCTTGTGGATTCTATCCCTAAGTACTACGATTGAACCTCTTATTTGAGAGAGTAAATCACTCCTTAGGGTTAAACATTTGAGTGATATCACCACTCCATCCATTACTTTGGACACGGCCACAATGTATTCCTCATTGTCTACCTCGGCCATATTGGCTTCTGGAGGTCTCATCTCACTGCTTTGCTTTTGCATCTTCTCAATTGTCAATAGGCATGAGAGCAGGTCACTATAGGTGGTGAAACCTCTTTGTATATGTCGTAACATATTCTGGACATATTTTGAGTATGTTTTAAACAACAAATCCTTGCATGTTACCTCTTCACCACATAGTCTCAATTTGTAAGTGATTTTGGTCAAAGCCATATGATATTCTTCGAAAAACTCAAAGTCTTGGAATCTGAGACTTATCCATTCATGCCTTACCTTTGGTAATAACACCATTGAGTATCTGGATTTAATTCTATCTAAAGGTCACGAGGATTCTCTATATGTAGGTATTGATCTCTCAGATCCTCAATGAGATGATGGCGCATAATTATTATGGCCCTATGTTTTTCATTTTCAGTTGCATCATCCTGAATGATACTCCTTTCGAGTTCTCTTGATGCCAGGACAACTGAAATGTTCATTGCCCATTCCAACCAATTATTTGCAGAGAGATTTAGGACATCATAATTCTCATATTTCGACATCTAAAATCATATGATCAATCAATTCAAGGTTTAGAGTTTATGCAACCTATTCAAACAATCAATGCATACAGTCTCAGCCAAAATAATTTCATACTCGACCATGGTGCGAGACAAGTTGAGAATACAAGGTCTATATGACCAATCAATCAAATAAGTAATTCTCAAAGATAGTGGATTAATTCCATACGGCCATGAGTATGCAAGTAAAGGTCACACGACCATTCTGGTATGGTGTACTACTAGATCACACAGCCATATTATACAAACAAGGCCATACTGCCATATTATCAAGACACAAATAATTTCACTAGACCATACTATCAATAAGCAAGCAAGTCTTGACAATTAGTATAAATACGCACCTAGGGTTTCAAGGCCCTTTATGCTTTCAATTCAAATTATAGTGATCTAGATCAAATAGCAAGCAATCTATCAGCCTTAACTTTCAATCAAAAATCAATGATCCAGAATTAGGGTTTTTAAAATATAATGGCCGATTTTTATGCAAGGTGGAAACCAAAAATTTTCATTCACAACCTAACATCAGATTTCTTATTTACAAGACTATCAGTGTGATCATGCAATCATGAAAAAAAAATTTATAAAAAAAAAACAAGTATTGCAAGCAGCAAGAAATCAGATTCATATAAAATTAGGTCAAGGGTTTCAATTGATCAACTTAACAATTCTATATGGTTTTGCTTCTAAGAAAAAATTATAGCAATCAACACATAGTATTAGCATGATCAGTTTTAACTTAAAAACTATCAAGACTTATCAGGTTTGGTCGATTTTTATTTTAGAACAAAACCTAAACCTAGTTGGATTAGGAATTTATAAAACTAGGGTTTTCAAACAATTCATCTATTTCGACTTTATGCAATCTATGATCCTAGCAATTTTTCTCAATGTCATAAACTGTCAGGAAGTTCATAAAAACATACTAGATTAAAGTTAGGTCGAAATTTTATCAATCCTAGGGTTTATCCAAAATCGGATCTAGCAATTCCATGTGCATTAGGGTTTTTAACAAATAGACATTCCAATGATCAAATAAACATATAGTCTCAGGGTGGTCAATTTCAATGAAAAAACTATCAGATCTTAACAGCATGAACGAATTTCAATCAATCAAATAAAGATCTATCAAACGAGTTAGAGAGAGAAACAATCAAAACGGTTTTATGCTTTAGCTATTAGGGTTTCTCAATTATCAATTTACTCAAACTCAAGCCACAAAATCTATCAGGATGAACTACTAAAGTATTCAACATGATCAACTTGATAAAAATAAGCAAGCAAAAAAATTTATCAAGCAACAGATTTCATGTATCCTATCATCCGGTTCTATATGATCAAGTAATCACAAAATCTAACCGATATCCTATCATGAGTTTCTTTATTCCAGGCTTAGAATTTTGATTTCTATCATTAGGGTTCTAGGTGATTACCTTTGTTTTTTTTTTTTTGAAGGGTTGAAAACCGGACCACCTTTAGAGAGAGATCAAGGATGATTTGCGGCTATCGGATTAGGGTTTATAGCAAATTGGTGACCCATACTGTAGGTGAGCTTGAGGGCGCGTCTGAGATCGGATTGACAAGTGGTTTTCACTGATGGATTGTTCTCTTCAGGAGCTTTAATTTGATATATTGATCGTCGTCTGGATCCTTACGGTTTGAGAGATAGGTCGTTTTGAAGTTGCACTAGAGCTAGGTTTTGCTTAGGGTAGGGACGATCGTGCTGATAACGTGTTGTAAAACGAAGGTAAAGAGTTGTAACTTGTATGTATTATTGATCTCGTGTACATACATATATATACATGTCTTATGCCTGGATAAACATAAACCTAAACAGATAAGGATTACAACAAATAAGGGGATTAAGATCCTACAACATATGTATAAATACAAGGAGGATAATGACTAGATGTTTGACCGCCTGGATAAGGATAAGGCTGAACGTGTGGGACTAAAGTGGAACATTGTAGTCCATTTCTGGGATATGTCCTCATCACCATTTTCATTTCTTAATAATAACCAGGAAAATTTATCTCTGGATCAACGGGTTTTAATAAATTTAAAAGTTGACAAAGAAAATAAAATTTATTTTATTGATTTATAGAATAGAAAAATCTCTATTTAGTTTACCCAATGAGTTTAGGAAATTAGGTTAACTATATAAGAGGTTCTTATGATGTGAGCTTTAGTTTTTTGAGTTCTATTTTCTAAAGCTTTGTGAGATTAATAAAGGAGTTTTTGTGTGCTTGAGATTCTTTGATCGTTGAGTTACATTATTGATTTCAATATTTTCATCGGCTTCTTCAACTCTCTAACGAACAAAAAAGTGAGAAACCCCTAATGGTTCTGATCAAATCGAATCCGAAGGCAGAGGAAGAAGAAACTGAAAAGACGGCGATAGCTTCTTTGTCCGAAGCTACCGAGAAAATCAGCGATCCCTCAGATTTTGCGGCTTTCGTCGACAAAGTAAAGGTAAGTTGAATAATGCTTTTTTTTTTGTGTAAAAAATCGAATTTCAGTTTTGGTCTTTTGTTTGTTAACAGGGTTTGCCGGACGCTGACTTATGGAGGTTTAACTTTTACCTTGAGAAAGCATTTTCCCAAGTATCATCATTACCATGGTTTAACATGCTAAAGAAATCTCCTTTGTCTGATGTGAGTTTTACGTTTTTGTTTTTAACTAAAAAAAGAAAAAGAAATCTCCTCTGTCTGATGTGGGTTTTACGTTTTTGTTTTTAAATAAAAAAAGAAAAAGAAATCTCCTTTAGTCTTACGTTGTTAGAGTGCCTGAAGCTGATATCTTGCAGGTTCCATTATCTCATATTCCCAAGTCTCTCTATGAAACAGCAGTGGATTGGATCAACAAACTTCCATTTAATACACAATGGAAGTTCGTAACGTGGGCACTTGATCGACTTCTCATTGACTGGGCACCACATGCCAAAGGCGAAGAACAACCTCTTGCCAAATTTCAAGTAATTTTGTGTGGACCCTTTGTTTGTCTTATTCCCATTATTATATCTTGTACTTATTTTTGGCTGGTAAAAAAACATTAGGTGGCAACATTGGTTGAGTTAGCCATGGTGGTGCGTGGTAGTCCTGATTCTTTGACTTGTCTTTTACCGATGCTGCGGGGGAGACCTATGTATCATGGCGAGGACAAGCTTCCGCTTATCATTTGGATGATGGCTCAGGCCTTCCAAAGTGATTTACCTGCTGGCTTGTATTCATGGGCGGTTAACTTGCTGCCACTAGTCGTTAATGACAAGTGCTGCTACAGCTCTCAGTCTATTGATCTCATCCTCCAATTTGTTGAGATGTGAGTCCAGTTTTTAAGATATTTTCTCCCCTCCCCTCCTCTGCTTGTGTGTCTAAAATCTTGTTTTTCAGGATTTTGTCCTCGAAACCAGAGGCTCGGGCTGTACTCCTAAACGAACCTGTTAGGCATCGAGGGCGGCTGATTCCACCTTGTTCGTTTGAGATGTTGGTGCGCCTTACGTTCCCTCCTGCAAGAGTGGAGGAGGATGCAACAACAAAGAGGTTTCAGGCAATTTATCCTTTGTTGAAGGAAGTAGCCCTTGCACCAGATACTATTACTAGTGCAAAAGCACTGAAAGAGATGAAACAGATATTCACTTTTTCCTTGAAATTAGCTGGACATGAAGGTATCGGCGGTAACAAATGAAACACCACTTTGCTTCCCTATTGAATTTCTATTAAACTTTTACCCTTGTTTACAGGAAATCCTGCCCTAGCCAGTGAAGCTACATCAATCGCCATTAGTGTTTTGACACAAAATGTTGATTGCTTTAAGCAATGGGATGTTCTCTACAAGGAGAATCTAGAAGCTAGCGCTGCTCTTCTTAAAAAGCTTGCAGACGAATGGGACGACCATTCCCTCAAACTATCAGCATCGTCCAGTGATACACTTAAGCATGCTATGAATAGCTTCAGGATGAAGGTAACTAATTAATACCTCTCTTATTTTGACTCTTCGAATCTAATATTAACTCTCTCTGACCTCACCTTGCTAATTCTTTTTATAATTATTGAAAAGTTGTCTTCGTCCGAAGATGAATGTAACTGGGATAAGGCGATGTTGTCTTTGTCCCTGGAAGATAAATCTAACGGGGAGGAAACTGAAAAGACGGCGATATTGTCTTTGTCCGAAGCTCTTGAAAATATGCATCCCCCAGCTCTTGCGGCTTTCCTCGACCAAGTATTGGTAAGTGAAATTCGGATTTATTTTGTCTAATCCCTCACCAAATCGAATTTGTAATTCTGGTTTTGGTTGTTTGTTAATAGGACGATGATTGGTATCTACCGGCGAGGCAGATCTTGAGACTAATCGATTACTATGGGGATGAACTTTCCCAAGTATCCTTTCAATGGGTCAAAATGTTCCAGGACTATCCTTTTTCCAAGCTCATTAACGTGAGTGAGAGCTAGCTGATAGATATATCTATCTCGTTTATGAATATAAAAAAGTCTTCCTAGCTGATGATATCTTTATTTCTTTCTTGCTTCTTAAATTAACAGGTTCCGTTATCTCTTATTCCTAAGCCTGTCTACGAAATATCAACCGATTTCATCAACATAGTTCCATTCCACGCACTACCTTCCTTTGTACTATGGGGGTCTGATCTCATTCTCACTGAATGGCCTGGAGTTGTCAAAATTGAACAAGTTAATTCTAACAAATCCAAGGTACCTATTTTTGAATAATGGCTGTGTATTCAGTTCTTTGTTTGGACCCTCTCTGACTCCAATGTTTTGCTTTTCTACTTTTACTGGTAGGTGGCAATATTTGTTGCATTAGCCATGGTGTTGCGTACTCAACCTGATGCTTTGACTCTTGTTTTGCCAAAGATGGGGGAGAGACCTACCTATCAAGGCGAGGACAAGCTTCCCTTTTTAATTTGGATGATGTCTCAGGTTAATTCTGATTTAAAAAAAATTATATATATATACAGTATATATTTTATGTGAACTAGGACTATCGAGAGGGTCCAAAATTTGTTGTGTTTCTCAATATTTTTAATTAAATGGTGACAGGCCTCCCAAGGTGATTTACCTGCTGGCTTGTATTCATGGGTGCGTAAGTTGCTGCCACTAGTCGCTAATAACGAGTGCTCCTACAGCTCTCACTCAATTCATCTCATCCTCCAATTTGTTGAGATGTGAGTCCAGTTTTCATTATTTTAATTTTTCTCCCTCCCTCTCTCTCTTCTGCTTGTGTGTCTAAAATCTTTGTTTTTTTATTATTCTTTTAATCAGGATTTTGTCCTCGAATCCAGAGGCTCGGGCCATACTTATAAATGAAGCTGTTAAGCATGGAGAGGGGCTGATTCCACCTTGTTCATTTGAGATGTTGATGCGGCTTACATTCCCTCCTGCTAAAGTAGAGGAGGCAACATCAGAGAGGTTTCAGGCAATTTATCCATTGTTGAAACAAGTAGCCCTTGCACCAGATACACTTAGTGCAAACGCACTGAAACAGATATTCACTTTCTCCTTGAAATTAGCTGGAGAAGAAGGTAATTGGGTAGCAAATGAAACACCACCTTGCTTCCCGTTCTAATGAAAAGTCTACAATTGTTACAGGAAATCCTGCTTTAGCCAATGAAGCTACAGCAATTGCCATCAGTGTTTTGACACAAAACGTTGATTGCTTTTATCAATGGGATATTCTCTACAAGGAGAATCTACAAGTTAGCGTTGCTCTTCTTAAGAAGCTTGTAGACGAATGGGATGATCATCCCCTCAAACTATTATCATCCTCACCGAGTGATACTCTCACTGTCATGCATGCTATAAATAGCTTCAGGGTGAAGGTAATAATGCCTCCTCTCTTAGACTTTTCTAAAGCTAATATTAACTCTCTCTGACCTCACCTATTATTTGTCTGCAGAACGAAATAGCCATCACTGAAGGAGAAGCCAAGCTTTCTCTTTACAAAGAAGCTGACAAGTCGTGCAAACTGATATCCAGGAGACTCTCCCGTATACAAGTCCTCTCTTAAAAGAGCTTATCAGAATATCAACGATCTTTATATTACAGAAGAAATAATAAACTCCATTTTTTTGTCTTTTTAACTAAACCGATGCCATAATAATAATTAAATATCAAACCTACCAATTGCAAGAGTGTCATTGCCATTATCTATAAGCATGAAGAGCTTAATAACTTGCTTGAAACAGCAGATTCAGCATTAAATTAAAAAAAACAAGAAATTTGTTACATTCTTTCAGCATTTTTCACGAGCCAGTCGAGTCCTTCATGTAAACCGTCACCACTTAATGCACATTGTGAGAACCGAAATTCACATTGTCAATTTTCCGTCAAATATGGAAACTTAGGGAAAACCTTAATTTTTCCGAGGTCCTGGATCTCTGTGGAAATCACTGAAACGAACAGAGTTAACAGAATATGGATGAATAACAATAACGAAGAACAGAGAATAAGTAAAGAATTTGCGTGAGAGCTTTTTACTGAATAAGAGATTGGCAACTGTTACATAGAGAATCACGGAGCTTAGACGTCAAAACGTTCTAAGGATCCGGTTTGCTAGTCTAAACGCTAAGTCCTAATTTCCTAAGCTAACAGCCGCCTCTCTAGGTCTCGTTCCCTCTCTCTTGCTTCTACCCTATGTCTCTTGTTTATATACTCACTTCCTAGGCTGTTTAGCCTTTCTATTTTGCCCAGATTCGAGTTTATCGAAAATCTTCCATTATCTCGATCTTTCTTTTTTTTCCCGTGGAAATCTTCTATTTATCTTCAAACTTGCCATTTCCCTTCAAGCTTGACTTTTATCCTCCTCCTGCAGGTAAATCGTCAAAACGTTATTGCATCTTTGGGTTAGATTTCGTTAAAGTCGCGAGATGGGCTTTTATCACGTTTTAGGACTTTCCAAACCGTTTTGCGATAAATTCGTTTTACGACTTTATACGAGACCGTTTCCTGATCCGATGCCATTTTTACGATTCACTTGACGTTTTTCATAAAAGCACGTTTTTTACGATTTTTACGAAAAACCTCGAATAAATCGTATAGTTTAGGCAATGTTCGGTGTTTCGTTTAACCGTTGCCGTTTTATACAATTTCCTTGAGTTCTTTTCGAGAAAACAAAGTTTTATGGTTTTTCTCGTAAAACTCGAACGATAGGACGGATCGAGACGAAACGGGAGACATTTCGACCGTGGTTCGGGACATGATCGTGTCGAAGGACGTATGCCTTGAACAAGGAACGTGGGAGATCGAGGCTCGGGTTGGTCGACTCGACGTACGACGAGCCGAACCGGACCGGTTCAGCTCGCCGTACGGAGAGCTCTCCGGGAAGCTTCTAGCTCGCCGTACGGCAAGCTATCCGGGAAGCTTCTAGCTCGCCGTACGGCGAGCTACTTGGGGCGAGGCTAGCTCGCCATACGGCAAGTTAGTTCGAGGCCGCTTAGCTCGCCGTACGGCGAGCTAGTTCGACCGAACCAGCTCCCGATTTACGGCGGATGCGGTTTTTTCGCGGTTTTGTGCTTAACTCGGATGATCGTGTAATCGACGTTCGTTTCATTCTTCCGAGATAACGATCTCTGAATCTTTCCGCAGATTTTCTTTGTCCGGAAACTTCTTTTATAAAACGATTTCTCGAGTTTTATAAAACGATTTCTCGAGTTTATCTTTACGGAAGTTTATCGTAGACGTTGATTTCGAGATTACGGTTTTTGACACCAACAGTTAGCCCCCCAGCTCACAAGCTTCGAAGAAAGTTTTTGCGGGCGGCTGGAGTTGTTTTAATCGGAATCAACGGCTGCGATTTGTCTCATTACGAGGGATGAGCTCTTCTTTTCTATAAGTATTGGATCATTACTCCTCATATCTTCCATCTCTCAAATTTCTCTCCAACTTCTCTCTAGAAAATTATCAAGATGTCTTCCTCCCAAGGTGATCAACAAAACCATGAGATCCCAGCTAGCGACAACCTTATGGCACATTCGAAAGATGCTCGTATTTTCGAGTTCCTCTTGTTTCAAGAGGAGATGGATCGCAGCGATGCTGAGGAGAACACGGTGCCGGGTTGCGTGTCCCCGGTGGATCTGTCCGTTCTTTCGAAAGAGGTCAAGGCTATTTTGGACGAAACGGTGGATACGGTAGTGAAATCCTCGACGGGTGTCGTTATTGAACCGTCGGGTTCGTCTGCTGTCCCGCGTCTTACTGTAGTTGAAAATGTAGCGGTTCTGCCGAGGTTGGAACGGTTGCGGCTCCCACTGTGGTTGAACCGGTTGTGGCTCCCACCGTGGTCGAACCGGTCGCAGTTCCTACCGCGGTAAAAAATGTAGCGGTTCCCACCGTTGTCGAACCGGTTACGACTTTGAGGCCTCCTCCTCCGGCCAAGAGGGTGATTGTTCTGGGACTTCCGGCGCTTAGCACAACGCTGCCTGCTCCAGCCAAAGGTCGTAAGAGACCTTGCCTGAACCCCGATGCTCCCAAGAGAAAGAGAGGCGCAAAGGGTCCGGAGACTGGAGCTTCGTCAAGCAAGGCGCCAAGCTTGGTTTCGATGTCGCAACACCGTGCCATGGTACAGGTTTGCGAGCATACGCTTAAAATGACTATAATTTGTAATTCGTATCTGACCGTCTATCTTGGTTTTTCTAGTTTGTTTTGTTGATCGATGGGATGATCAAAGAGTGTGGGTCTGAGGTTGAGAGTTTAGCCAAGGAGTTGGCTGAGTCGCAGGAGAGGTCTGCTCATTTCAAGGGGAAATTGAAGGTGATAGAGGACGTGTATTCCAAGGTTACGGGAATACTTATCGGTAACGAAAATGGAATATTGTTATTTGCTTACGATTCATTTAGCAGTCTCTGCTCCATAAGCTCAAAATGTTTGTCAAGATCAGGTATTATGGATAGACCAGCTGTTACTTTAGGATCACATTTGTAGTCTTGCAGAACAACCGGAGCGACCTTTGCCCTTTTCCTCTTACGCTGCTCCACAGCCTCTTCTTCGTGTCCCTTGGAAACGGGTGCATCCTCCTGCGATAGTCCGAGTGAGAAAGACGGCGTTTCGAATAGATAAAAAGGTATTTGCTAAAACCAATTTTTGAAAATTTTATCAAAAAGATCAAAAAGAGGTAAAGTAGCATCAGTAATCAACTCCCCCCCCCCCAGACTTAAATCATACACTGTCCTCAGTGTATAATTAGTCGGAGTTAGAGCATAAGAAAAATTAAATATGTAAGCTGATATCGAAATGGTGAACGATATCTGACCGATATGGGTATCGATCGATGGTGAGTCGCCATCGTCGATCGATGCGTGTTGGTCTGTGTCGAGCGATATCGACTGGTTCGTCACGGTCGATAGGTATGGATCGTGTATCTATCTTCCTAAAAACAAATAAAAACGAAAATAGTGAGTAAAAATAAAATAAAATAAGTAAGTAAACTACCTAACAGTGGGTTGCCTCCCACTCAGCGCTTGGTTAAAGTCAGTTTAGCTTGACTATGGAAGTATGGTTGCTAGTGAGGTGGGTTGCAGGTACTTGTTGATAAACAAGTGTCCTCCTTGTCTTGTGTCTCATCAAACCATGATGTTAGAAAGCTTTTTGTGGCCTTCTCACTTCTAGTCATACTAGTCTTCAAACCATAAACTTCTGCTTGGATCCTTTCTAACCACCCCTCTAAGTTGGCAAGGCTGTACTGGTGGTTGCCAATCATGCTGTAGATGTGTTCTGTTGTGCGCTGCATGGTTTCGTGGTGTGTTGGATCGTCGGTCGATGCTGGAGGTTTCATATCGATCGATGTGTTGGGTGCTTCATCGATCGATAGGGAGGGGTCAGGTCGGCTGGCGAGCTGTCTTTGGATATCTTCTACCTCCTTCTGAATATCTTCCATTGTGCATTGCAGACCTTTGAAATCACTGTGTAGGGGAAACCAGTATTCGTCCAGGATTCTATAATCTTCGTCTCCACAAAATCAATATATTTGTAGATTTGTGCTGTGGTTTCTTCAAGTTCTTCCCTGGTACAGAATTCTTGAGCACGGGTATCGATCGATGGACTGGGTTTCTCATCGATCGATAGTTTCTGTAAGTGGTGCTCGATCGGGTGTTGGACGGCTGTATCGATCGATGCAGGGGGATCTGTATCGGTCGATGAATGTGGCTAAGATTGCAGTTGCGCGCGCAAAGTGTTAACTTCTTCTTGTAGGGCATCTCGTTTCTTTCGTACTGAGTCATTGTGGCTGGTCTGCCATAGCATTTCACCTCGAAGTCTTGATAGTTTTTCCTCAAGGTCAACTCTCGCGCCTGCTATCTTCCAGTTGTGATCGCTGGTGAGGCCATCTAGCATGTAGGTGACTTCTTTCTGTGTGTAGAGCTTGCCATCTGGAACTCGTTTAGCAAACTGATCAGCATATTCTTGTAGACAGAAACAAGAGCGACCAAATAGTGAGGCTCTCTTCAGCAAGTTTTCCATCTCTTCAGCAAGTTTTCCATATCTTCTTTGGTGACAGGGATGATGTCTCCGTTTACTGCTCTTGCATGGCCAGATTCATCTCTGTAGACTCCATATTCATCTTTCTTTTCTAAAAAGAAATGACGTTCTCCGTTTTGGAAGGCTCTCGTCCCATACTCTTGGTACGTATCGATCGATGCTAGTCTCCATGCATCGGTCGATGGGCGTTTTGTCTAGTGCGGGTTGTTTTCGATGATAGGTCCACTGGCCATCTGGAGTATGTCTGCAACATCTTCTGTGGAGATAGGAATGATTCTCCCATCTATAGCTCGTGCATGACCATCTGAATCCCTGAAAATACCAAACTCATCCGGAATTAGTGAATTTAAATGAAATTTGGGTGGTTGTACCTCGGATGATGTTGTGGCAGGATCGGTTGGTGGTTGAAGATTGATATCGATCGATGGAGGGTGCTCCTTATCGATCGATGTCTGGATGATCATATCGGTCGACAGCTTGAACTCCATGTCGAGCGATATGGGATCTGCAGGTTGAATTGCGGCTTGTAAGGGTGTTGTGTCTACTGCAAAAATTTCGTGATAACCGCTGGCCCAGCTTCCAATCGAGTAATCTCCGTCTCGTGGTTCGTAGGGGACATAGACTGGTTTGCAGTAGGGTTCGTTGCTCGTTGATTCGAAC